TATTTAAAAAAGGGGGCTTCCAACAACGTCTTCTCTCCATTGAATCTAAAATCTCAGAATTGATAAGGCTATTTTTGAGAAAAATCAAAAAGTTTCAAAAAACAAAAAATTGAAAATTTGAACTTTAGGGGTGCCATAACTTTTTTTGTGCAAAAAAACGGTGTAAGCGCTTGTTTGGGAAAAACTGAAAAAAGATTAAAAAGTTCCCCACAGGGTGTTTCGAAAACTCTAGAAAGGGAGGTATCGTACAAAGAGACTAGGCACACAGGGCAGTGGGAGGTCTTTCCGCTGGTAACACTTTTTTAAGCACTCGACAAATTATTTTTTGACTTTTGAAAAAACTATAATTTTGAGAAAAAAAAGACGAAAACAAGTCCCATACTTTTTCATGATACCTGCTTTCAACAACCTGGAATCTTTTAGTGACAAAAATTTTTGTTATAATTCTACCCGTACTTCTACTGCTACAAAAATATTATTTACTACAATCAAATCGGCACCTCGGATGCTGAAATAGTTCAACAACACCATCAGTCATTGAACGCCAGCAGTACATTGAGCGTTCTTCAGTGACAAATTTCAGTGTAGTATAACTGTCCAAAGTTTTTAAAAGTTCATACCTGTGATGAAAACTTAAAAAGAAATTTTTTTGAAACACCCACCTTGGTTTGGTATTTTTACCTATTTTATCAAAAAAATTAGCGTCCTAAATGCCGAAACAAAATTTCATATACTATACCTGTTTAAATGGTTAAAAAAGTTTTCGTCAAAAAGCGTTAGTTGACGACTATACAAGGAAAATTACAATCATACCGTTTCACTTATGGAGACTATAGAAAAAGACTGCATATCAAAATTCACATCTAATAAAGTTTTCATTTGCATGTTTTTCATTTGTTTTTTTTTATCCCAGTTTTCAGCTCATTACGTGATTAATGACTTTTTAAATATATAAACGTTCCAAAATAATAATTTTAACTAACTTGCTTGCGTTTCATTAGTAAAGTGAACTAAATAACATTAATTCAAATAAATTAACTTCTTAGAAAGAATAAAAATGATCAAATTAAATGATTATTTGAATCAGAATAGTTTTTATGCCTGATCAATTCGTTGCATATTGTGGGCACCAACAAAATTCAAAGCACCGATCAAAGTACGGAAAAATTAAAATCAAAAAATTTGGACTTTCCAATTTAAGCTTGAGACATGAACACCTTATGGATGGTGTGAAAAATGTGCATCAAACACTGGGTGTTAGGAAGCAAACAAGAGGAGCTAAACCATCCGAGCCCGACACTGTTCCTTCCAATTTCCGAGAAAAGTCAAAGGTGTGATAAAACTGTCACAAAATGTGAATCGTAAATAAATCACAAATATAAATTTCCGAGAACGATAACTTTTTGTAGGATAAATTTTGTGCACCCCGTTCTCTCTATTAAACTCAACAAAGCGGAAAATTGAGAGTCCTTTTTTATGAGAAAAGACCAAAAACTTTAAAAAATGCTCAAAAAACAATTTTCTTCTAAGGAAATTTGGACGTAAAATTTTAAGTAGGTAATCTTGCTGCTATTTTTTATTTTCATTGAACTCAAACGCTGACTGTTAGCGGGTAGATTTTGACAGAAGATGAAAATTTTTTTAAAGCGTTCAAAAAATTACCAATGTGAATTTTCCGAGAACGATAACTTTTTTTTAAAAAAGGGGGCTTCCAACAACGTCTTCTCTTCATTGAATCTAAAATCTCAGATTTGATAGAGCCATTTTTGAGAAAAAATCAAAAAAGTTTCAATAAACAAAAAATTTAAAACTTGAACTTTAGGGGTTCCATAACTTTTTTTGTGCAAAAAAAATCGGTGTGAGCGCTTGTTTGGGAAAAACTGAAAAAAGATCAAAAAGTTTTCCACAGGGTATTTCGAAAGCTGTAGAAAGGGAGGTATCGTACAAAGAGACTAGGCACACAGGGCAGTGGGAGGTTTTTCCGCTGGTAACACTTTTTTTTAAAAACTCGACAGAATATTTTTTGACTTTTTGAAAAACTATAATTTTGAGAAAAAAAAGACAAAAACATGTCCCATACTTTTTCATGATACCTGTTTTCATCAAATTGGAACCTATTTGTGACGAAAATTCTTGCTATAGTTCTACCCGTACTTCTACTGCTACAAAAATATTATTGACTACAATCAAATCGGCACTTCGGATGCTGGAATAGTTCAACGACACCATCAGTCTTCGAAGGCCAGCAGTACATTCAAGGCACGCATAGTTTTTAAATTTCAGATTTTGTTTTTGAAGCACCCGCCTTGAGTTGGTACCTTGAGTTGGTAGCGTCTTAAATACCTAAATAATAATTCAAATATTAGAATTGTATAAATATTTTAAAAAAACTTGCAAGTTTTTTATTTGTTTTTTTTTCATATCCCAGTTTTCAGCTCATTACTTGATTAATGACTTTTTAAATATATAAACGTTCAAAGTAATCATTATAACTAACTTGCTTGCGCTTCATTTGTAAACTGAACTAAATAATAATCATTTAAATAAAGTAATTTATTAGAAAGAATAAGAATGATCAAAACAAATGATTACTTAAATCAGAATAATTTTTATGCCAGATCAATTCGTTGCATAATGTGGGCATCAATAAAATTTAAAGCACCGATCAAAGTACGGAAAACTAAAATCAATAAATTTGGATTTTTCAATTTTAAGCTTGAGATATGAAAATCTTATGGATGATGTAAAAAATTTGCATCGAAAACTGGTTGTTAGAAAGCAAACAGGAGGAACTAAACCATCCGAGCCCGACACTGATTTTTTGAAAAAATATGATTTTGAAAAAAGATGAAAACATATCCCATAAATTTTCATGATACCTGCTTTCATCAAACTGGAATCTATTTGTGACAAAAATTTTTGCTGTATTTCTACCGGTACTCATACTGCAACACAAATATTTTGTACTACAATCAAATCGGCACTTCGGATGCTGAAATAGTTCAACAACCCCATCAGTCTTTGAACGCCAGCAGTACATTCAAGGCACGCATAGTTTTTAATTTTCAGAAGAAATTTTTTTGAAGCTCTCGCCTTGAGTTGGTATTATTAATTATTTTATCAAAAAAATTAGCGTCTTAAATTCCGAAACAATTCAAATATTAGAAGTGTAAAATAGGTATAAAAAATTTTCTCGTCAAAAAAAGGGTAGTTTTCGTCAAAAGGAAAATTACTTCATACAGTTTCATTTATGGAGACTATAGAAAAAAAATGCTTATCAGACGACTACCATAGTATTCTTGTAATAATAATTGCTACCATTGTATAATAAGCGTTTTTTTTACCATTTTCTTCAAAAATTTCTCTCAAACTAATTTAAAACTCAAATATTACAACTATAAGACAATTCTTGGTAACATGGGAATTTTCGTTTCTGAAAGAGTTTCTATTGAACAAAAAAACTTCTCATACAGTTTTGGCATATGAGAATGGTATGATAAGCATTTTTGTCAACCCGGATAGTCTTAAGGTCAAACTTAAAATGTTGTCTTTACAGTGTCAACTTTTTGTTAAGTTATGGGGTTTTTTAAATGACATAAGGGGCTATTTAACCCGGCTATGGAAACATTCTAACTCATTTGAGGCTATTTGGTCTTTTCAATAAACTTCTAAATGCTAAACTAGCATTTTCAATTACCATTACCATTTTTTTGTGAAAACGCATCAATTTAATAAAACTATCAAAAAACCTCAAAGCCTTAGCCCTGATACTTGTATTTCTTTGTTTCCATTTTGTTGCAGACGAGCTAAAAGTTGAAAGGGCGGTCGTCGGCAAAATTATAACCGTCCTTTGATCCGGGTTAGTACACTTTCCGTTTGCTCTTAATTTTTAACCTCGAAATCAATACGCCCCCTAGCAATAAAAGACAAAGGCACTCTTTTGCCTAAACAATTAATTTTATCCCTCTGCAAAATGAAAAAGACTGTCCCTTTCTTTTCATTCAAGTAATTGAAGATAACTCATCTTTACTGGCGTCTTTAACTTTCAACCTTTTTCCATACTCCTTAAGGCTATTCGAAGGATGGAATTTAGAATTTATTGTCAAAAATGTTTTGTTTTGGTCTTTTGTGCCTCGCTATGAAAAGAATTTCTAAAGAAATTAGACAACCATCCTGGCGCGAAAATTTAAGCTCTTAGACAAAAGACAGACTGAGTGCCTCTTTTTTGCTTTCGTGAAACAACATGTTTTTTTACCAAATACTGAAAAAAAAATGAACATAAGGTTTGTGAAACAAATGAATTCGGTATTTTGTCTCAACATAACCTTTAATGCTTTTCGTATAGTTTGTGTTCCGATTGATCATTAATTGGTCGGAAAAAAATTTTGTAATAGAAAGAACTTGATAAATCACAAATTCCGAAGTTTTTAATTATCCTCCCTCAACAGCCACGCCACTCTAAAAAAATAAAGTGCGTTAAGATTTGAGTCGTACATGGGGATTAAGC